TAATTGGTTGTTATTGTGAATGATCTGTGTATATGTTGTATTTTGATGATGATATTAGAGAGAGAGAAATACGTGTTATTTTTTAATTGGTTGTTATTGTGAATGATCTGTGTATGTATTGTATTTTGATGATGATATTAGAGAGAGAGAAATACGTGTTAGTTTTTTAATTGGTTGTTATTGTGAATGATCTGTGTATGTGTTGTATTTTGATGATGATATTAGAGAGAGAGAAATACGTGTTAGTTTTTAATTGGTTGTTATTGTGAATGATCTGTGTATGTATTGTATTTTGATGATGATATTAGAGAGAGAGAAATACGTGTTAGTTTTTTAATTGGTTGTTATTGTGAATGATCTGTGTATGTGTTGTATTATTTTGATGATTATGTTGATATTGGAGATGTTGAAGTTTATGTGCAATAAGTGAAGGCTGTCTAAGGAATGCTGGACCATGTAGGCCTACGCCAATCAATCTCTATGTCTATTTCTATATCAATCTTGTGTACTTTAGGCAACATATAACGCTCATCAACTCAAGTATTTATAGAACTAACTGCATCTAACTGTATCTATCAGTATCAGGGTTAATGTATACTTAGTTACTCTTACATATATACATGAACAAACACAGTGGCACACACCCACATAAACACATGCGCATATATATACCTATACACACACACACACACACACACACACACACACACACACACACACACACACACACACACACACACACACACACACACACACACACACACACACCACACACACACACACACACACACACACACACACGACATACCTATGTACACACACACATACACGAATACATATGTACACACATACATACAAACACACGTATACACACACGTACATAAACAGTCACATAAAGGCATATCTTACCATCCATGGTGTCCGAGAGAAAGTCTTATCGACAAACAAATAAAAACACTTTTCGCTGGTGAAAGATATGAAATATATATAAGGTATTTTATAAGTTTTTATATCTTTGACTAAAACTGAAAAAAAAATCACTTATTTTCAAAGATGTCCGAATCATTCGATTTACTGTTTCAATTTCAATTCTGAACTTTTATTTCTTCTGTTTTTGTTTTTCTTTGTTACTAGGCACTTGATAAAAGACATAAAAGACGGAAATGTGTGTATATATTTCCTTTTTTTTCTCTTTGTTTATAGTCAGTTTGCGAAAGGATAACCGGTGTCCGGATGTGAAGTGACCGCGGCCGAGAATTAACGCCGGTGGGGTTTAACTGCTTTCTTCGGCGTGTGTGTGTGTGTGTGTGTGTGTGTGTGTGTGTGTGTGTGTGTGTGTGTGTGTGTGTGTGTGTGTGTGTGTGTGTGTGTGTGTGTGTGTGTGTGTGTGTGTGTGTGTGTGTGTGTGTGTGTGTGTGTGTGTGTGTGTGTGTGTGTGTGTGTGTGTGTGTGAGAGAGAGAGAGTGTGTGAGTGTGTGTGTGTGTCTGTGTGTGTGTGAGAGAGAAACTGTGTGAGTGTGTGTGTGTGTGTGTGTGTGTGTGTGTGTGTGTGTGTGTGTGTGTGTGTGTGTGTGTGTGTGTGTGTGTCGTGTGTGTGTGTGTGTGTGTTGTGTGGTGAGTGTGTGTGTGTGTGTTTTGTTGTTTGGACCATTTGGGCAATTTTTTCTATTTGGTTGTGTTTGTGTTTATCATTGAGTTGGCAAGAGAGGAAGGGAAAGAGGGAGAGGAGAGGATAAGAGAGAGAAAGAAAGAAAGAAAGAAAGGAAGAAAGAGAGAGAGAGTAACAGCAAGAAGCAAAGATAAACACCCCACCCACTCACGCACAAGAAAAAAATCACTGTTTTGCCTAAGTAAACAAGTCCGTACACGACTGAAGTATGTATCACGAACAAATACAAAAACAGGTATTTCTTAATTGGTCGATTTCAAACCACACACCAAGTAATTTCAACATTTCACTAAAAACCACCCTTAATATCGACCCCACATCATCCACCAAATCACTCTATGCTTCCAATCCACACTCGAATCGCACTGACAACCACGTATCCACAAGCCACGCCGGGGTATGGCACGTCTCCGATACCAGAAGCAACGCCCACGCCAGCGAGAGTCTTCCAGCTCGACGCCCACTGTCGTCAAAGCGAGACTGAGGATCCACCGAGCGAGAGGAGCTGGGAAACGCGGCACCGAGGATGAGTTTGTAAAAAATATATTCTTTCTTAAACCTCGGTAACGACTTAACGGTGATTGAACTATTAGCGTCCCGTTGGGGGAGGATTAACGCCGCTGTGGATGGATGGGCGGGTCGTGACTGGCGCTTCTGGGCGGCTCAGGACGTGAACAGGTGAAGAAAAAATATATATTGTCATCGAAGTGGGAGTCATGACGCGAATTCCCTCGTATTTCATTTTTATTCTTTCTTCTTCATTTCATTATTGAAGGTTTTGCGGGTCTTTCGGTTAAAAATCCCGACAGGTATGACGATGTGAATAAAAGGTTCCTCCCACGTTTATCTTTTTTCTCAGTGATAAAAGCTACAATACCAAAAAAAAGTTATATTGTTGAGTAAATCACTTTTCTACAAGCGATTCCCGCTAAGAACCGTTCGAATCGAAGCTAAGACGATGAGGATGATGAATCTTTTTCTTGGCTTTGTGAAAACCGCTAAAGAGGAGATTTACGACTTTATATCATATTAAAGAAGGATCTGCGTGGGATTGAGGAAAAAAAGAACAGCTATCTGATAATCACTTTGTCTCCTTGAACTTCCGGGGCTCTGCTCTCTGTGGCTGTCTGCCTGTCTGTCTGTTTGTCTTTTTCTGTCTCTCTCTGCCTCTGTGTTTGATTCTCTCTCGCTCTGTGCCTGTTCACTCTGTCTGTCTGTCTGTCTGTCTCTCTTTCTCTCCCTCTCTCTCTCTCTCTCTCTCTCTTCTCTCTTCTTCTCTCTCTCCTCTCTCTCTCTCTGTCTCTCCTCTCTCCCTCTCTCCCTCCTCTCTCTTTCTCCCTCCCTCTTCCTTACCTCCCTCCTCCTCCTCCTCCCCTCCCCCCCCCCCTCTCCCCCTACTCACGCTCATCATCCGAGTATCCAGCATCGCGATAGAGATCATCGCTGTATCTCTCGTTGCTGCTGTATCCCCCGCCGCTGCTGCCGCTGCTGTAACCCCCGCTGCTGCCGCTGTAACTGCCGCTGCTTCCGCGATTCTTGCTGTAACTGCCGCTGCTGGAACTGCTGCTGCTGCTGCTGCTGTACCCGTTGCGGTTGGCTGAGAGGAGACGAGGTAGAAGGAAAAATATTTTGAGGTTTATTTTGGTGGGCTGTGGTCATTGTTGCTGTTGCTGTTGTTGTTGCTGTTGCCTTTGCTGTTGTTCTGTGTGTTGATTGTGCGGCTGCGGTGTCAGGAATTCCGCGGTTGCATTGTGTATTTTTTGTCTATTTTTAGGGAGACGAATAAAAATTTCTGAATGACTTGCTCGAAGATTAAAATAAATTATAAATGTAAAAAAAAGAGAAGCAAGGAAAAATCTATAAAACAAAACAAAACAAAAAAAACCACTAAGAACAAAAAAGAAAATAGAAAAAAATAAAATAAAGAAAAATAATATAAAAAAAAAATAATCAAAAACATACAAATAGTAGAAATGATCATAGAATAAGAATAAATAGAAATGTCAATAACAATAAAAAAAGAATAGGAAAAAAAGAAATAATAACAAAAACAATAAGAATAAATAGAAACAGAAAAACAATAAAAATTAAATGCCCCAAAACGAATAAGAAAATAAATAAATGATAACAAAAAAATAGAATAGAAAGAAATAAGAAAATAACAAAAGATAAAAATAAAAAGAAAGAATAAAGAATAAATAAAAAATGCGTAATGATAAAAAAGGAATAAAAATAATGAAACTAATAACAATAAAAAAAAATAGAAAAAAAGAAAAATTAAAAACAATCTAACACAAAACATAGAAAAGAGAAAATAAAGAAATAAAAACAAAAATATAACTCTCCTACGAAGGCAACGAAAGAGAAAAAGAAAATAAAACAAATAACAGAAATAAAAAAAATTATAAAAAATAAAATAAATAAATAAATAAAAATAATAAAAAATAAAAAAAAATAAATAAAAAATAAAATAAAAAATAAAAATGAAAAAAAATGAATAAAAATAAATAAAAATAAATAAAAAAAAAGAAAATAAAGAGCACAAAAACCCAGAATGCCTTGGTGCAAGACACTCACCCGCCCTGTTGTTGCTCATGGAGTCATAGGCCTTCTCGAGGTCGTAGGACGGGCCGCTCCCGAAGCGCGACCTGCCCGGAGGAGGAGGCCTCGGCGCCCTCCAGCCCTCCGCCTTGGGCAGCTCCTCCCCCTCCTTCGTCGCGCCTTCCTCCGCCCCCCGCCGCCGCCCACGCCAGCAGGAGGACCAGCAGGGGGAGCGTTTGTGACGTCACAGGCTGAGGGGGGGGGGGGGGAGAGTTTTGGGGGGGAGAGAGAGAGGGAGGTTAGTGAGGGGTGGTGGGGAGGGGAGGGGAAGGGGATGGTGGGGGGGGGGTTGTTGGTGTGTTGTGATGTGCAGGTTGTGGTGATGTGGTGGTGCGTTATGATGATGATGATGATGATGTTAAGTTAAGATGATGATGTTAAGATTAATAAGCCGGATGATGATGATAATGATGACAGTTGAGATAGCAAATATACTCAAAACAAAAGCAGTAATAACAGTGAAATAATAATGGTCTTAATGATGATGATCGGTATAATAATAATGAAAATGATACCAATAACACCCGCCAATAGCAACAAAGTTTGCAATAACAATGATGATGATGATGATGGTAATGATAGTAATAATGTTAATATGATAATATAGTGGTACTAGTATTTGCATGTTGTAATGACGATAACAATAACAATAATGGTAATCATAATAAATGATAGTAATAAACATAATAATGATAATAGTATTAACAATGGTAATAATGACAATGATACT